ACTCCAAGAGGAGAGCCCATGGCAACTCCGTCGACATGCTGGTATAGCGAACCATTGATATGTTGAAAAGGTGACTTGTAGTACAGGCAAGTAGAAGTTCACGCATTATTTCTTCGGGTATTTTGGGTGGAGACATGGTCGGGTGTCTGTAAAAGTTGTCGCAGATTATGTCTATCATATCCTGGACTGGTACATTGGTAAATAATGATTCGACGTCCAAGGAGGCGAGTAGTCCCTGTGGATTTGTGGCATGTAGTAAGTGGAGGAAGACATCGGTCTTGTTTAACAAAATCTGCCTACAAGAAAATCTGTCACCAAAGTACACCAACATAGGTAAGAAGCTACATGTAAATACTCTTTTTGAGCTATTGGATTAGTCCTTTCTCTTCTGTCACTTTGTGATAAAACTTTTTAACTTTTATTTTTCCATGTTGGTTGTTACACATGAGATCTTTGTTCATTATGAAATTCCCATACACATAATACTAAGACTGATATGGCATCAGGTTTTCATACTTTGTCAGTTCTTTGTGCTCATTTGTATTTTGGTTGTTTGTACTTGAGGTTTTTGGATAATTTTTTTCTTTTTTACTAGTTTTTTCTAAAAGTTTTAATTCCATACAATTAATGTCACTTAAACTGTATGCTTTTTCAATTTCCGAACTCTTTTTTGGTTTTTAAGATCCTTTGTTTATCAGTTTATCCATCAGTTATTTTAATTTTTTACTGTGGCTCATTGGACCTACAGAATCAAAGAAATTAACCTAGAAAACATTTCTCGTATTGCCTGGGATGACATGTAGGTACCTAGCTCATATTAATCTAGATACATTTTGAAATTTAACAATTAGATGATTGAAAAGGTTTTTGTTGTACAAAACTTGAAGATAGCTTTGATATACGGAAACATTTGTTTGCTGAGTTCTTGCACAGATCTTAAAATATAACGTTCATAAATGGAAACATCGGCTTATGTAGATACGTAGATCTTGAAAGTCGAGTTGTTCAAAACTTGAAAATAGAATAGATAACTGGACCAATTGTTGGTGGAGATGTTGCAAAAGAAATATCTGCTGAAGCTTTTTACCAGACACTAATCATAGCAGAATTGTCTCGAACATGATCTATAGGAAATAGTACAGCTTATAAAATGAGTCAGATCAGCATATGCCGGTAAGGCAATCACTGGTTGGCATGTCCTTTAGCCAATCAGGAAATGTCACAGACCTACTGAAGGATGTGTAGATTGTATAGGAATTCTTTTTGGCTGCAAAGGGCAGGTTTATGTGTTTTAATAAAGGTGGCTTCCAAAATAGAGAGATGAAAGGTTGACCAACTATTTGCAATAATTTCAAACCTGCTATCAGTGTAATTGTTTTTTTTTAAATAAAATTTTCATTTTATTATAAGAAAGTTCTTGGTATGTTCTTCTTTATTCTTTTTTTGGCTTTCATGATTTTTTTTTATTGTATTATTTAATACATTTATGTGCTTTAGTTATTTTACATTGCTATAACACACCAATTGCTGTATCCATTTTATTAGGACTACACATAGTTCTTCTGTCAAGACCTGTTAATATTCTCAAGTTACATTGTCCTATCCTGGTTTCAGAACTATTGTTAGCCATTCCTCATATTTTATAACTCTTGGGCCCTGTTAAAATAAGTTTAACAAATTTGTCTGGTACTTTTATCAGGAATGACTGTTATTTAGTTGTCTATTATAATTTTTACATTACTTTTACCATGCTTTTTTCACCCCCTGTTGAATTTGATTCATTGTTCTCTCCTTAACTAGAAGATCTTGAATCTTTTGACTAAGACTAACATTTCGTGTACAAGCAAGAGATTGGTCTTTGAGATCAGTGGATAGTTATGACGTATATAATTTGTATTCTTCTTTGCTTTCAGAAAGTTCTCATCTTTGTTTAACCCTTTCACTATGTGTAGTCAAAGTGTGCATGCAACAACATTTGAAGAGTTACATTAAAATTTTATTTAAACTACTTTACTGTCATGGTTATGAATCAACTTGGCATCAAAGCATATGTAATAAATCATATTTTAATATTGTTTAAGTTTTAAGTTCTTAATTTTAAAAGGAAATGTTTAAAACAGATCTTGAGTCTCCCCTCATATGAGAATTGTGACATTTGCTCTATAGGTCTTTCCTTTGCTCTAATTTATTTACCACTTCTCCAGAGAGTATGGAATTTAACAAAAATTACTTGTTATAGTATAGTTATTACTCAGACAAAGCATAATTTTCATAGCCTTCAATCTTATTTGTTTGTGGAGCCATAAATGAAAAATGAGACCCGCTTTCCACACCCACCTGTCACATCCTTTTTTTCAGAAATTGTCAATAGTTCTTTTTGATGATTAATACAATATTTTTTATAAGCAATGGAAAGCCAAGGTTTTAATGTACCAAATAATGTATTATATTGCACTGTTTTCTGTACAGAGAGTTGTCTATTTCATTTCCAGTGGAAACTTTATTCCCAGGGGAAACATATTGACAAGATTTACAGAATTTTTAATGGTTCTTGTTGCATATTTAGAAAGCCAGAAAAATTATGATAGTTCTAGGACCTTATTTCTTTTTTATGTGTTATTATTCTGTTTTCCTTGTTGTATTATTTAATTAAGTAAAACGTTATTTTCTATAGTAGTACCATTACTAAAAAAAAAAAATTGGGTTAAATTTCATTTACAGTCCACAGCAAAAAAAAAAAAGGACTAGGATAAATACTATATTTCTTGTTTTTAATGTGTATCCTTTATTTTATTATTATAAAAGTAAATAAATGTACAAATTATAAACTTGTTAGGTGAGGAAAGATAAATAAAAATAAATATTTTTCGTGAGCTATGCTTATAAGTAGCTCATTTTTTATGCAGTTTGATAGGGTAACATGAGCTACATTTTTGCTGAATGATTTTGAACTTTTATAGCCAAATTATTGGTTAGACAGGGTTTATAAGGTAATGAAACAATAAAATTTAAGTAGAAACAGCTGTATACTGTTATGAGCTTTATGCTATTTAGGATAAGCAGATGTAGTTTTCTGTTAGAATTTTAAGTTATTTTAGAAAGAAAAAAGGGTAATTTAGATTTAATTCATATTTTTTTATGAAATTGACCAACCCTGTATAGGGTTAAGATAGAGAAAATAACAGGTAAACTATTAAATTTTAGTGTCAAAAAATAGTTGAAATTTATTTACAAGGTTTTAGAGATTTTGCAAATAAAACTTGGCAATTTTCAGTTCAAATTTATTTAATATATTCTCATGTGCAATATTAACTACTTCTTATCCATGTAGATCACTTTTTTCCCACCACTTTTGAACTAAATTATGAGTTAAAGATTAACTACTTCTTATCCATGTAGATCACTTTTGAACATATTTAAATAACTAAATTATGTGTAAAAGTTCAATAGCACTTTGTTGAATTTTTAATTTCAGATTCTTTTGAAGAATCAAAAGTATCTCCTCACCAGTAGTATAGCTTCATTTTCAGTTCTACTGATTACTTCGAACATGGTGGAGGAAGGGACAACATCAGATTCATCTTGTGAATTCTGAACTATGCTTGAGCTGTC